GGTTGGCCCAGGATCGGACATTGTTTCGTTCTGCTGTGCATGGAGTCTCTATGAGTCAGTTCCGACTCGAAGGCACCTAACAACAACAACAACCAACTTCTTCAGTCTGAAACTGATCAAGCATGCAATCAGGATGCATTGATTATTACTGGTGATTGGAATACAAAGGTAGGAATCAAAGAGGAAGGATCAGTCGTTGGAAAATATGGCCTTGGTGATAGAAACAACACTGGAGATTGCAATATCGAATTTTGCAAGACCAATGACTTCATTGCAAATGTCTTTTTAAAGCAAAACAAAAGACAATTAGACATATCAACTTCACCAGATAGAATACGAACAAATCAGCCAAAACAAGGCCAAGGGCAGACAGTAAAAAAGACCATCAATTGCTCCTGGTGTGGTGCTGTGGGTTAATGCGCCAGACTGCAAAGCCATTTGAACTGCAAGGTCAGTGGTTTAAGCTCACCAGCTGCTCCTTGGAAACCCTATACAGGGTTGTTATGGTTGAAACTGACTTGATGGCACTTAACAACAACAACAAGTTCAGGCTTAAGCTGAAGAAAGTCAAAACAAGTCCACCAGAGTCAAAATATGACCTGGAACATACCCCACCGGAATTTAGAGACTATCTCAAGAAATAATTTGATGCATTAGACACTAATGATCAAAAACCAGAAGAGTTGTGGGATGACATCAAGAATATCATACAAGAAAAAGCAAGACGGAGAACAAAAAATGGCAGATCGGGTGGCAGTGCAGTGAGGCGCTCCATCAGCAAAAACACAGACTACCGGACTAAGCAGGCTCAGGGGATGGTGGCAGAACTCTGAACCACATATAAAGGAATATTCAGAAGGTAGGAAGCCTTACAGCTAGGGGAATTGGTAGCAGAAGCAAGAAATCCAGTGTTTTCTAATACAAGACACTCAGCTGCTCCCAGAGCTGCCTCTTGGGCAAGACCAAGCTGGGGAAGGATCAGAGCAGCCATGATGCCTGCCAGAACTGCAGAGATAAAGGTGTGGACACTCATTTTTTGGTATCTGTTAATTGGTCTCTTGCTGTCTGCGCACCTCCATTCTGGTGACTAGAGGGGGTGCCTGAGTGAGTGGATACCCCACCCCCACCCCTGGATGATTCTACTACACAGATTTCCTCGAAATTTAAAATGACAGTTTCCACTTACAACCAAACGGCAGTGCAAAACTGCCATAGCCAGCCCTGAACTGTTTATCACTAGGAAAAAGACCTGAACAAGGATTGTGGACTGGGACAAGCAGATTAAAAAGGAAATAGGCTGAAAATTAAATCCTGAGTTACGTCATAATGACCAACAGTGGCATCTTGATATTTCTCAGGAAGAAGAGTGAAAAGGAAAGCCCATCTCCTGATCACATCTACCTGGAGGCAATCTGAAAATATAAAATGTATTAGGGACACTGATAACTCCTGAATATGCCCACAAAACAGAAACAGATGGCCATATCAGCACATGTTCAGAAATGAGATAATGTGACTAAGGCAAGTGAGTTGGAAGTAGACCTACACTCCAAACTGGAAGATGGGCAGGCTTTAGAAATGCCTGAGAAAGAATTCAGAAAAATGATTATAAAATATATCAAAACATTACACAATGGAGTTGAGAAAAATAAAAAGTCAGGAAAGTGCTACAAGAACAAACAAATAAGGATAGATACAGCATTGGAAACAATTCAAAACCTACAGAAAGAGGTCCAAATGATTAATAACAGAATATCAGAAATAGCCAATATACTGAAAAGGCAAAGGAGTAGAATAGAAGAGATAGAAGCCAGAACTAGTGAGCTAGAAGATAAATCTTTCAACACTACTAAGATAGAAGAGTAAGCACAAAAAAAAGGAACAAAAATCTGAAGAAGGCCTAAGATTCATATTGGACAACATGAAGAGGAGTAAATTAAGAATTATCAGCATTCCAGAACAGGAAGAATTGCATAGGTCCACAGAGGAAATAACTAAAGGGCTGCTGGAAGAAAATTTCCCTAACATCCTGAACAGTGAAAATATACGCATTCAAGAAGCTCAACGACCCCTAGGAAGGATAGTCCCTAAAAGAAAATCACCAAGACATACAACATAATCAAGTTCTCCAAAATCAAAGATAAGGACAGAATCCTGAAAGCAGCCAAGGAAAAGAGAAATGTAACATGCAAATGCAAGCAAATCATATTAAGCTTGGATTTCTCAACAGAAACCATGCAGGCAAGAAGGAAATGGGGAGACATATATAAAACCCTGAAAGAGAAAAAACTGCCGACCAAGAATCCTCTATCCAGCAAAGCTGTCAATCAAATGTGACAGTGTAATCAAAACATTCCAGAATAAACAGAAGCTAAGGGATTTTGCCAAAGCCAACCCTGCTATGAAAAATATCCTAAAGAAAGTTCTGTGGACTGAAAACCAACAAGAACAGACAACAACCAGAGAATGAGGTACATGGCAGCATCACCCTGAACTCAATCGACAAATGGAAGAGTCAAGAATAGAATAAAATTATAAGAACAGAGGATCTGGGAGGTCAGTCTAGGATCAAAACAATTACAATGTGAAAGAAGGTAAACAGAGGTCTAGGTGGTGAGAAGGTCAGGTAGATTACAGGATAAAACAGACTGTCTTAAATGGAGGGAAGAATTAATGGAATATAAGGTAAAAGGTCCAAGAGCTGAACAGAAAATTTCAAAGATCAGCTCGAGAAGCTAAAACCAAATACT